AATTATTTAATTATTTTTAAGTATAATTTATTATAATTAAATAATATTAATTATAATTAAATATAATTATTCGATGGGAGGGGTGATTAACTATAGGGGCTTGCGCCTATAGGAAACCAGAACTCAGATCATAAAGTCCTCGCAAAATGAGGGCGAAATCTCTGGGTAGTGTCTTATCTACAAACCCATCTGCCTTCCAAAATTTACCTCGGAACCTAGTTCGTTAAAACTCCCTCGCCGAATAAGAAAAGCGAGCGGAGGCCGTGGCCGAATTTTCGGAGCCCACATTAATATTGTAGATGCATGGAAAAAGAGACTAGATAAGTGATAAAGCAAATAAGGTTGGTGCTTTGAATCCAATGAATCTCTTGATTCCTATTCCTACTACGCCAATAAAACCGTCCACCTAGATCATTAATCTCATGAATCTATTCTAGTCGATAGATTTCTTTTGGGTGCGCAAATATGGAGTTGATAAGAAAATATTTCAACCAGATAATACTTGTTGGTTCTCTCTCCATCAATCTCATTAATCATAAACATAATCTAATTCATCCTAAGAATGGGAAGATTATTCACCGCTTTATGCAATAATATCTTATTATAATTTTGAATTTCTAACGTGCTCATTTAATGGCCTTCTAAGTTTTATTGAAAAAATGAATGCTTGATTGTGTTTGTTTGGATCTCTTTTCCTTGTATTAAAGTCCATCTGATTAACCATGAAGTTATATATTTTCTTGGTCAAACTTTCAATAAATCTCTTAAGGTTGATGCTGCTATTACGAGACTTTCTTAGTCATCTATTATTAAGTGCTTATTGAACTTGACATTTATCAAAAAAATTGGATTTGTCATGAAAAAGATGATTATCGTTAGGTTTTTATGGTTGAGATATCACAAATTTACATTGCAAATACATGATGCATGGTCATCCGATTGAATTTGTATTTAGATATTAAACCCAAACTCAAAAATCTTCCACCTAGTCTGGAAAAAATTACCAACTATATTGGCTAATAAAAATAAGACAAATTTGATTCATGCTACTAAAATGCCTCTAATTCAGAAGATTAACACAACTAATCCCAGTGCTTCCCTAAATGGGTCTCCACCACAATAGCTAGCTTTGATCCTTTAAGTAATACCTCCTCACAGCCCTCCAATGATAACTTGGACTCTGTTAGACCGGTCCATTGGACCGGTCCAGCTAGTTCACATGGGACCGGCTTTGGCAAAAAGAAGCAGAAGAGTTTGCCTCTCCTATACGAGCCGCACAAGCCGCAAGGGTTAGGGAGCTGTTTTGGAAGAATTTAGGAGGGAAATTTGAATGTAGGGACTGATTAGAGATTTCCTTTTGAATTGTATGCATTAAATATTTTGTTTTCCTAGGGTTAGGACATCATGAATTGGGGCTGAATTTGAGATCTCTTAGGATTAATTTTTTTGGGCTCTAGCGGCGTCTAGAAATTTGGGAGAGATTGATTCTCCTCTCGAATTGAGGATCAACTGTATCTTGCTATTTTCAGTTTCTATTTCATTAAATAATACATATTGTATATTGTTTTTGTGGTTTTGTGTGGATGTTTGTGGAGAATTCTCGCTGTTTTCCGAAGATTGATAAGAAATACTTGAGATCTACAAGTGTTTCCTATCAAATTGGTATCAGAGCAATTTCCTGGGCTTAATTTGAAATCTTCCTCGCTGAACTTTGCTGTTTTCCGTATCCGACTATGATGTTTTTGCTGATTCGTGGCCAGAATTCGCGTTGTGGCTCTTGCTATTGGAGCCTAAATCCAAATTCTCATGGCAGGAAGAAAGGTAGAAGTGTTGGAAGGGGAGATCGGACAATTGAAAACTGAAATTTCAGATATCCACACTCAACTTTCAGATGTTAAAAGTCAAATTTCAGCCATCCACGAGAAGATGGATGGGAATTTTTTCACCCTAGGGGAGATATTGAAGAAGTTGCTCGAGGGCCAGCTAAAAGGGCATTGTCATAGGAGAGGGAAGCCTTTAACAACCCAGGAAGCGGGGAAAACTCTAATCCAATAAGTCAAAGAGGAGACTATGAGATGGAGACTCAAAAAGGAAAAGAGATAACGCCTCCCCCTAGAGCCTGTTCCTATGGAGGAGCCGGGTAGAGGGTATGGGGAGAAGCGTGAGGTGGTGAAACATGAACAAATGGGTGCTGAATTTGAGAGGAGAGGGGCAAAATTTCGAAAGAGAAAGGGGTGATTATGACCAAAGGGGGGCTGGAATTGAAAGGAGAGAGACTTATTATGATCCAAGGGGTGCTTAATTTGAAAGGAGACTAGGAATTTGATAAAAGGCTTGGGTATGAGCGTAAAAGGGATGATTGAGATACTTGGTGGGAACCACCCCCTTGGGGAAGGGGAGATTATGGAGGAAACAGAGGTAACATAAGGAACAAATGCTATTCGAGAGTGAGGAAACTGAAGATGCCTATCTTTGAGGGGGAGGATGCGCACAGGTGGATCTGCAAGGTGGAAAGATATTTCACCGTCAATGGGTTGACGGATGAGGAGAGACTGACGATAGCGGGCCTATGTTTGGAAGCTTTGTCATGGTACCAATGGAGGGACATGCAACGACCCATATGAAGTTGGGAAGAGTTCAAGGATTGTTTGATAGAACGTTTCCGAACTGGCAGGGGAGGAGACTTCTACGAGCAGTTCTTCGCCTTGACATAGAATGGTTCAACGATGGAGTACCAGGAGAGATTTGAGTACCTGCTAGCCGATTGGACTGCCTTCCTAAGACACTGCTAGAGGAAAATTTCATAAAGGGACTGACACCAGAGATTCGGGCAGCGATTAGAGTAATAAGGCTTCGTGACTTGGGAGAGGCTATGGAGCTAGCTCAATTGATGGAGGATCAGAGGCACCTAGAGAGAGAGAGATGGAAGGCAGCAGCTCAGGAGGTCCGAACAGGAGGACCACCACCTTTGTAGCTCCCAAGGAGCCGACACTGGGTATCAGAAGACTTCGAAGGAGAATACTGTAGGAGTAAGACCTGGGGACAACTTCAAGAAGCTCACAGAAACGAAATTACAAGAGAAAAAGGCGAAGGGGCTCTATTTCAGATGTAACGAGAGGTATACGCCGGAGCATGGGTGTAAGGACTGTACTCTTCAAGTTCTTACTATTTGTGATGAAGAGGGAATTGAGGAGAGTCATATTTCCACCTTGCGGACAAGGTGGGTCTTTGGGAGGAGAGTATTGTTAGACCAGTCCATTGGACCGGTCCACACGAGACCGGCCTTGGTGGAAAGAGGCGGAAGAGTCTACCTCTCTTGTACAAGCCGCAAGAGTTATGGAAGGATTTTTGAGGGATTTGGGAGAAAAATTTGAATGTAGGGACTGTTTAGAGATTTCCTTTTGAATTTTATGCATTAAATAGTTTGTTTTCATAGGGTTATGGCATCTTGAATTGGGGGTGAATTTGAGATCTCTTAGGTTTAGTTTTTTTTGGGCTCTAGCGGAATCTAGAGATTTGGGAGAGATTGATCCTCCTCTCGAATTGAGGATCAACTGTATCTTGCTATTTTTCATTTCTATTTCATTTAATAATACAAATTATCTACTGTTTTCGTAGTTTTGTGTGGATTTTTGTGGAGAATTCTCGCTGTTTTTCGAAGATTGATAGGAAATACTCGAGATCTATAGGTGTTTCCTATCAGACTCACTTACCATGACCCACGAATTAGCAAGATGAATTGTATTGAATCCTAAAACCCGCATCCCCACCTGATGCAGGTAGTGGAATGGTTCATTTCCTTTCCTCTGATCCTCTTATTATTGTTACAATCACTCCACCCGTAACCATCTTCTGAAGAAGCTTGCTGGTGATATGGTTGCTGTAAATTTGAAAGATTAATTTCTTATGTTATCTTTTGCACTTCATATGGTTGGGGCTACCTTTAGTTATGGCAACATGCTTGCATTTGATTTGAGCATTATTTTAGCTTTTGTGATTCAGATTCTTGGATTCATTCTAAGTGAATTAGGGGCAACAAAGATTTTCCCCTCAGCAGGAAAGACAAAGGCAAATATAAAACGTACAACAATGTGCCTTAAAAATCCAACTTCAATTGAAAAACTTCAGATTTCTCGAACTTTTTTGGTGCTTGTTGAGAGCCCTTGTTCCTTCTTTGATTATTACATTTTGTCACTTTGCCACTTTTGAGGCTCTTTAATACCATTTTCTTTAGCAGTCGCACATCTTTCATCATATGGAAGCTCATTTTCAGTCACATTTTCAATCGCATGGGTTGGTCTTCATTATTATGCATTCCTATTTTCCTCTAAATTGGCTCAATTTTTTTATGTTTGGAAATTCCATCTTTGGCGTTGGCACCTATTTTCATTGTTTTTGTTGCAGACTAAAAATTCCCTTAATCATTGAAGAAATATCCCCATCAGAAAAACCTACTAAAAAACAACGGAATTTGGGGAGCATTTTCCTTCTTCAGATCCTCGGGGAAGCTGAAAAGAGAAAAGGAACCAACACATCATCTACAACCAACTGAGACTAGATAGGAGCGGCGACTATTTTGGTTATTGGCAAAAAAATCCGTGGTTTAATCAAGCACCAAATGTTTAGTTCTCCTAACGCTAATCAAATCCTTCTGTTTTTATGGTGATGAAGTATGTTCGATTGGTAACAAATTAATGCTAATGGCATGGATCATAACAGAAAACAGGAAAAGGTACATTCTTCAATGAATAAAAAACGTCCCTTTCAAAGAAACACAACACCTTGCTGACAGAACAAAACGATTGGGCAACTCACCTGAGGTGTTGACAAAAGTTCAGCATCATGCTTGTTCAGTCTAGGATGTAGAAGTGCAAAATAGATCATCCAAAAGCACCCTAAGCTAATATGATTTGGGCAAAGTTCTATTCTCAGAGCTGCCAATCTTGGTGCTAGACTCTCAACAACCAACGCATGGTCTTGCTGGGCTACTGACATGTCAAAATCTAAAAGGAACAAATTATCATTCATTAAAAGACTAGAGGAAAAAGTAGCATATGCATTTTCTTTGCCAAGAATATATGAATTTGTAAAAATATAAATGATCTTTCGATTTCACAAATTCAATTAATTAATACTAAAACATTTCAAAGATAAGATGGGAAAAAAAAGAGGCTGAGCAACAAAATTGTCCAGAGTCATCAGCTTAAATAACCAGCCAAGCTGCAAGGTGTTTCTGGACCACTGACATCATAGAGATTTGAAATATAGAAGGTAAACCACACATATTGGTTAGGTGTATGGATAGGGGTAGTCTTTGTATGTTTATGTGTATGTGTCAACAGAGATAGAAAGGGAGAGACCTCCAACCACTCACCATTATCAGTACCTTTATCCAAACTGTTTTTGTGTATGTTGAAACGCCTTGCAAGTGCTTACCCAAGAATTCCACCATTGCCTAGTGCCATTTCCAAGTTTTCGCCTATGTCAAATGCCGCTTCTAAGTATTCCACCCCTTCCCCAAGACATCCACTTTTTCCTAGTCGTTGCCCATGGATTCCTCCCATCAAAACTCTCTCCACCTTAGCTTCAGCTGTTGTTAGGACCACTAGCTAGTTTATTCTCCTCGTGTCATTTTTCACGCCATTCAACATCATTGATTCATGGGGTCATAGATGGCAACTAATCAATCTAATGGCTATCCTATTATATTTAGTTTTGTATTTATTCAATTACTGATTTTATATATTTTTCCTATTAGTTATAATAGGGTTGTATATATTCAACACTAATGTTGGAATGAAACCCAACAAATTCTCTCCAACTCATATAATTAATATCAGAGCCTTGGACTTTTCTTCTCTAAGCTTCTCTATTAGCCATAGTCTTCACCATTACATTGCCCAGAACTTCCAAACCTTCATTGTCGCAAGTCTCTTTCTTCCTTCTGCCTAATTGTCTTTGTGGTCGTCATCGTTGCAACCTTATTTCTACTCTTCTTTATCTTTGCAACTAATTTCCACCACATATTTCCTTAATATGGATCAAAATAATACCCATATTCCTTGGTTATAGGTTCATTTGGAACTTAGAGTAGTAGCCATAAACTAATGGGAGAATTACAAAACGTCCTTTATTTATTTATTCACTAACATTTTAAATACAAAATTTACGGTTATCCATTTCTTAATCTAGTAGAGTGTTGGGAGTTGATTTGTAAGGAAGAGATGGGAGTGAGAGAATAAAGAATTGCAAATAAATTCACAAAGTAAGTTCTAATCAAACATATTAAATTCAAATTAATACTAGAATTTCCAAATGGTTAGTGATAGCTCCCATCCTTTCAAATTTTAAAGGGCTATACATTTCTTGCATTTAATTTCTTAAAAGCTAATGATTGAAGACTTCCTAGATTTAAATACATAATGAATTTTATGTTGACCTTTTTTTTGGCATCGGTCACTCGCACATTCTTGTCACTTTTGTATTTTGTAGATTGATTCATCTGCTTGTATATTGCACCGTTGTGTTGATGAAAGGTCACCTTGCGTATGCTATATCGGCTCGTCGTCGGCCTTAAGATTTATTCCTTTTGATCACATGTTTCAAAATACATGTGGTCGGGTCGATAACGATTCGATGTGATTTCATGCATTTGGGCCTTTATCGCGCATGTTTGTTCCGTGTGCAATATCTTTTGATCGAAATTTTGTTTTGCGAAATGGACTGCTTGAGCACACTCGGATCGTCGAGATCTCTCAAACGAATCCATTCACGATCGAATCGGGTGTCGTTTGGTGCATGTTGACGAGAGAGGTGAAGGTTATTATTATTATTATTATTATTATTATTATTATTATTATTATTATTATTATTATTATTATTATTATTTCTTATTAAAGCAACATATATATTTCTGATTATGTTATAATAATAATAATAATAATATTTTTAAGCATAATAAATTAAATTTAAGATGTATATATATAATATATTTAAATACTTAGACGTTCTGCATTAATTTTGTGTTTGGACATATAAAAAAAAAGAAACTCTACACCTCTCCAAATCAAACTTGCATATGTTCAATGTCTGATTTTGATATGACAAATCAAACTCAATCCAGACCGTTGGAGGTAGGGCTATTATCTTGGTTTCTCTTTAAACAGGGTCGGTTCAAGAGAAGAAAAAGGGTTCATTCTTTTTTTTTTTCAGCCGCTATTTTGTCTCATATGCAGGTACAAAGAAGGCCTCCATAGACGCAGCAACAACTTCTTCCCTCCGGCTCTCCTCTTTTCGGACCAAGCCAGGAAGCTGACGCCACCCTCTCTCCTTCTCTTCTCTGATCGCACGAAGCCAGGCCGAAGCTCTCCCCCGAGCTCCCTCTCTATGGTTCGCAAGACACCAGGCGGCTCGTCTACCCACCCTCTCTTCGTCGCCTCTTCTATTCGAGCAAGCAAGAGGAGCCGAACTGCACTTCTTTCGCGTGGATAACGTCGGACGTCATCCAGCTCTAACCGACGACCTCTTCCCCTTTGGCAATGTAATTTCTTCTTCTTCTTTTTCACTATCTTCTTCTTCTTCTTCCTTCATTAAAAAAAAAATTATGGCTTGTATAGTTTGATTGTTAAAAGTACCCTTTCATTCTTTGTAAGCAAGCTTGTATAGTTTGATCGTTCTTCAATTCTTTAATAAATAGCTTCATGAGATGTTGATAATTTATGCATTCATTTATGAAGATTTATGTATTAACTTATGTTGTTGTCTCTTTCATAGTGTTAAAAATGTGCTTGGATAATAAGTTAGAAAAACACGTTTGAAAATGTGATTAAGAAGGATGAGTATTTGCTTTGCTTTAACGTTAAATGATATTCATTGCTGTAGCTTGTGCCTCGTTATCATGAGTTGAATTTTATTGTGGGAATATGAGATAGGTGGCATCGATCTCAAAGCCTAAGCATTATATTCCTCTTTGTTTACATAGCGCACACAAAATATTTGATGAAATGCTCAGAAAAAAAAAAGACAAAAAAAAAATGTTACAATGGAGTGTCTTTTTTTTTTTGGTTATCTCGCCAAAATCTCATATGAATGCCAAGAGTTTTTGTCGTCACTAAGAGAACTTGAAGGGTTTTAAACATGATAAATTTTCATTAAAGCTTGTTAGATAATTGAATATCAAGTCTAAATGTGTTCTTATACAAAGTAGACTCATGCTTTTATTTTTTTTTCTTAGGCCATATATATTGCTGGAGTCAAATACTTGTCATGGAATTTGTGCATATCTCATCTAGCTTGCCAATGCATAGTTTCTTACCCATCTTAAGACTGACGTTGATAAAAGAGTGTTAGTTTTAGGTCTTTGGCATTAAAACCATTGCATCGGATAAATGCCTTTAAATCATTATGGTTTGGGTGGAATTGTTATACCTCTCTGGTTGTTTTAAAAAAAAAAATACTACATGTTGTACTAAGTGTCATTTGCAAGTTTCATTGTTTAAATAATGCATGTGCGCTTGGTATTGAAAGTTTACGAAAGCATTCGAAATTTTTTGTCTGGTTGACAAAGTTTGATATGGTTAAAGTTATTATTATTATTATTATTACTATTATTATTATTATTACTATTATTATTATTATAAACTTTGTACATTTCAATGATATCTATACACATGTGTCTCCGAAATATCAAAATTGGGTGATGACAAACCTAAAAATAAATAATAGATTTAATCTATTTATTCCGCCTTCAAAATTATGTTTGGCATAAGTTTTACATGAGAAGCTTTGGAGAGGTTTTAGTATGAATGCATGGTTTCATCTAGTATATATGCATATGCCTTGCTTATTTTTTTTTTATGCTACAATTGTATGTTTAATAGAAAGGTTAATGGTCATATCAAGAGTATATAAATACTTGAAACATGTGAGGTTGTGCTTAATTTCTATTTGCTTATTTTGTATTCGTTGGGCCCTAAGTGGGATTTGTATGCATATTTAAATTTCAAAATCACACCCTTCGCATAAAGATCCATGGTTTTATAAGATGTCTCATGTGTAATTCCCTTTACCCATGATAGCATGATTTTAGATATCTTATGTTTTGGTAGTTGTTTGCTAGCCATTAGAGGAAAGAGTTTTCATGTTCAATGTGTATGATTTCATTTGATGAATCAAATATGTACATTACCTTGTATGTCATAATCACTTGCTTATATATCTTTCATATATATGTTCTCTTTCTCTCTTTCTACGCATTTGAGAGGAATTTCAAAGTTATAAATTTTGCTCACTTACATCTCTTTAATGAATGACATGCATTTGATTGATGAGTATGAATTGCTTAGTAATTAGATTACTATCAACTTGCTTCTCTTTTTGAATAGTGCCTACTCCCACTCTATATTTGCCTTTTTCTTGTTATTTTGTGAGGTATATTGCGTTGTGACTTGCATTGTTCGTTGATGGGTCGTTTGTGTGGGAGCTTCTAAGTGGGCGCGCCTGGGTCAGGTATACCTTGATAGTCCTGTAGAGACTTCTCATTGTATTGTCGAATGGTTACACATTAGCACACACGTTTGACTGCTTTTATTTTCCCACCCAAATATACTTGCTAGGATGTTTAGTTAGCCGGCCATAGGTTAGTCTACTAACGAAGCTTTGGCCTTGCGGGCCAAAGCTCGCCCCCTTTGTCATGAAACCTAGAGACCCTTATGGTCATTTTAGGCCTGTAGGGTAGGCCACCTATGTATGTCATATGCATCATTTTTTTCCACACGAAGTGGGCACCGTTAGGATGGTTTTCTTTGGGTTTTAAAATCATTAAACAACTCTAAAAAATGATTCTTAATGATTTTGGGCCTCTTAATGTATCTTTCATAAGCATGCTAATAAATAAAATATAAGATCTAGTATGTTAGGTAGTTTCTCTTGATTAGATTCATGATTACAACTCCTAAAAATTCTTTAATTAATCTATAATCTCTAAAATTCCCTTAACTAATAT